TTAAGTTCATTATTTGGAGCTTTTTGGCTCCTACCCAGTTGCAATAACTTGTTTTAAAACACTGTATTAGTATCATAACCAATTATGTTTTCAGCAATTTAATTCTGAAATAACTGCTCTTCTGATTGCCATTTGCAGTCCTGCCTTCTGTAGAGCGAAGTGTGTGTGCGTGCGCGCGTGTCGGGGTTGGGGGGGGGGGGGTAGGATAACTGAAAAAGCCAAATACCACCTTACTAGGTTTTAATTTTCCACCACCTGACATAATACAGCTTCTCATCCACGCAGGTCTTGAAGTCACAGGCCATCTCCTTTCTCTTGGCAAAGGAAAACAAATTAGCCCGAGAGAGAAGGGGAACAGAAAAAAGAAAATTGTCCCATCTGCTCTCTTGGCATGTGATGGCTGAATGCAAACAGAAATTTTTTTTTTTCTGAGCCTCCCCCCGCTCCGCTTAAAACACACTGCCCCAGATATCACTCTATTTTACATCAGCCTCATCTTACTTGGATTTACGAAAAGCTTTTATTTAAAGAAAAAGCTTTTTAAACAGAAGGGGTAAAAGAACAATATATTAAAAAAAMMMTGCATTTTTGAACATGTTTACAATCTGTAAGTTTGCAAAGGGCCACTAAGAAAACCTGTAATCCACCATTTGCAACAACATTGTGATTTATACAGGGTCCAGAACTACTAAGCAATACAATCTACATTTATTTTTTCTTACAAGAAAAATATCTTTCTGCAGTAAGAAGGATGGAAATTCAGAATTACAGTTCACACTAAAATCTGTAATAGACCTAAAGTGTTCCTAACAGCATTTTGAGGAATGGGGGAAAAAAAAGAAAGAAATGGAAAATAATTTAGCTCACTTTATATTGTTCAATGGCAACTGCTGCTTTACTGCTCTACTGAAGGACACTTATTAAATATATTTGTTATAATCTACTTGTATGATCATTTCAGAAATAAAATATTACTGGACTATGGAATCATAGCAAGCTTGCAAATTAATGCTCATGTGATATTATAAAAAGGTTTTAAAATACATTTTCCAAAATATGCCCTTTCATACTTTCTAAAAATGAGAATTGTAGAAATAAAAATGTGTTTGTATCTATTTTAAATCAAATAGTAGTAATAGTAGTAGTTACTTCAAGTAAGCCTTTTTCTGTCATGGAGCATAATTTCAAAAACATTTACTTAGAATATTCAACCATATGAGGACTATTTTAGAGCAGATAATTCATCCTGATTTATTCACTTAAGTGACACAAGATATTCCAAGAGTAGCTTTCAACAATGCTTTTTCTTTTTTTTCTTTTTTGGCAATATTTAAGATTTTTGTATATGTTTAGAAATGTTCTCACAAGTCTTAAAAAGTGTTTTTTACCTTACGTGGAAACCATTACCTCAAAATATATGGATATGGAACATCCTGCTAAGAAGACTTAGCAAAGGGAAGGGGAGGATTGGCCAAATTATTTAACAGCTATTTCATCAGGAATTCACAAGCAATATACTCTGTTGCACAATTAACCTAGCTGTATATATATTCTTTCCAATCAGCCTTACTAAGTAAGGAGACATGAATATCTTATTAAGCATTAAACAGGWTCTTAAACAAGCCATACTAAGAAAAGAAGCTGCTCAACGACTGTTTTTTTTTCTTCATTACGACACTGAAAATATATATCCTGAACATAAGCAGGTCATTTCACCTAATTAAACAAATTCTTTCTCTATTAGGAAGTTTAAARCCTTCACTGAGTGTAAACATGACAGACTGAACGAGAAGGAAATTTTATCCATATAAACAATTGTAAATATTTTCTACTTTAGAAAAACTACTTTGATGGCACACATTTTATTATCAGTGGAAATGCAAAGGGTATGCAACTACTAACAAATTCTAATTCTGAAGTTTTATGAATATAGCAAAAGATACAAGAATGTACTTAATTTTACCCAAAGAAAATGAGAATGAACAGTTTTTCTGACTAACTTTTAAATAAGGAGGTAGAAGATGATTTTATAACCAGATGATTTTTATAACCAGAACTATTTCATGTTTCTTTTATATTCTTTTATATTCTTTATATTTCTTTATATTTCTTTTATATTCTTTATATTTCTTTTATTTATATTCTTTATATTTCTTTTATATTCTTTTATAGTTTTTGCCATTAAAAGTTATTTATAAAAAAACTTTTCTTTTTGAAAATTCATGATATGGTTAGTAGGAGTAATTTACTCTGTATTTCAGAGCATAAAACCTATTTACAGGTTCAGGAAAATTACTAAAGATGTAACAGTATCTTTGAAACAAAGGGTGAGTCTTAACACTGAGTATAAAAGGAATGTAAATGTTTGGAGAGAGCAGAGTTCAAGATACACATACACATACRTATACATATACACATACATTATATATGTATATTTAACTGCAGAAACACTTGAAGCTTTCTCTGAGCTCCCTCTCGTGAGCATTTACCGGCAGTGCGCAAGCATCACCAACGGTTCTTTTTTGTTAATGCATCACGCCCTGAAGACGCTTGAAAATACTAAGCTCTGGTGCCAAAGATATTCATACCTAATTACTTGTCTGTAGAAGGAACAGAATATGGACAAAAAAAAAATCTGCCTTTGTCTGCTGCTTCCACAGAACTCACCTCGCCACACTGCAGCAAGGAAAAATTAAACTTAAGGAACAGGCTTTAAAGACAGTCATAGCACTGGGTTGAGAGCAGAAAATCTGGCCTTTCACCAGCATTACTCATACTACAAGTAAAAATTACCTTTTTTTTTACCCCATCTCAATGAAAAGGTATTTTATAATCAAGCAGTTAAAAAGGCTTTTATATTTTAAGAAACTTTCTTTTATTATTTATATTTTAAGAAACTTTCTTCCTTTATATGCATAGCACTAATCACCACACTGAAACCCACCTACGGCCACGCTAGAAACACTACTAGCTTCTTGGCAGATACTGAGGTCCATGCTTGCTGAAGGTATACATTTTCCAATGTTTGTATTACAGAGCAGGATGATAAGGGCAGCAGTAGAAAGCTACTTGTATTTTACCACTCCAACCAAAAAAAAAAAAAAAAAAAAAAAATCATTCCATGAAAGATTAATCTGCTTTCCACTCCACATTTACAGAAAATGGTCCTACAATTCTGTATCATACAGGTGCATTCAATTTTGCTTTTAACTATTTAGAAATCCTCAAGAAAGAGTGTCTGCTTTTTGGAACATGCTGTAGCAGTGAGGTGATGCACGCTGGCCATCAAATGCTAGTTGTTCACCCCACTGACTGGAAAAAAATGCCTGCTGTTTGATTTCTTTTATAGGATCGCATTTAAGCAAGTAAAGTTTATAGAGATGACCTAGCAAATCACTCTTTGAATCTAATTAGGTATCTCAGCAATAGTTTTCAAATGTATAAATCCAGAGAGAAAGACATTTTGTAAACAGGTGTGAATGACACTGCTCCATCAGGCATTAAATTGGAGCTGTTTCTGAAAAACAGTGTAATTTGTGCATTTAAGTTACCGATATTTTCTCAACTGCAGTGTTTCCATACCAAATACTCTTTGTTGTGTAAAGTCATTGATTCTTCAAGCAAAATACCTCACCATTTTAACTGCAGCATGAAACAGTCTACCACTGTTTTCTTCCCATTTCTTTCCAGAAGAGTTGATTAAAAGTCATATTTATATTACTGTAGCCTCCAAGGTTTCTCTGCTAAGCACTGTATGTACACACAAACACCCAAGAAAGACCACAAAGACCACTGCTCCTTTAGTCTTACATATGCGGGTATCCAAAGCCAATACTCATAGCAAAGAAAAAGGTTTCCTCGTTTTAACTTTTCCCTTAATTTCAGTAGGGCTTTTTAACAGTAGCACAAGGTGCTGCTACACTAACACAGTAAGCTTGGCGAGCTTGCTTCACCAAGCACACTGAATTACCAGTCACCACCCCGAGAAAGCACCATCCCATGTATCCCAACCCAGTCAAAGAGGTATAAGCGGTACCTACAGCCCCCTTACCGCTCTCAGCTGCATGCCCTTACCTGCACAAGAGCCAGTAGCGCCATCTGGATGCCGCAGGAGTCGCCCTAAGACGCACAGCAAGTGCCTGGCAACACCTGCCAGAACCTTCCAGAAGCCGCCCCAGCCTAACGGGCGTCGCCCAATTGTGCCGCCCCATCCCAGCCCAACGGTCGTCGCACGGTCGACCTCCAGCCTAACGGTCGTTGCCCAACTGCCCCGTCCCAGCCCAGCCCAACGGTCGTCACGCGCCCCCACCTCTCCCCCCAGCCCAACGGTCGTCGCCCAACTGCCCGCCTCAGCCCAGCCCAACGGTCGTCGTCCAACTGCCCCGCCCCAGCCCAGCCCAACGGTCGTCGCGCGCCCTCCCCCTCCGCCCAACGGTCGTCGCCCAGCTGCCCCGCCCCACTGCAGCTCAACGGTCGTCGCGCGGCCGCAGCCCCGCCCCAACCGCCGAGGGAGGTGCAATAGCCCCTAGGAGGGCTGGAAGGCACCATGAACCACCCCAGTCCAGCGACATGTGGCTTCAAACAACCGCTCCCCCACAGCGGGCAGTCTCAGCTGCAGCACGAGGCTAACCTGGCTGGCAATAAAAAAGTAACCATGAAAAAAACTACAGTTGCCCCAAATTCATTCATGCTACATATATGCATGTGGACACATACACTTCTCATCTACACACACAGAGGAAACACAGAGGGTTTATAGTGACACTTATTTAGAAAACCAAGATGATGGTTTTGTGCCTCATGAGAAAATGGACCATTAAAGAGAGGAAGAGTTTCAAGATACGGTCTCAGCCAAGAGTAATGAACTCTGGGAAGGAAAAAAAAGCCACAGAATGAAGAGTGAAGACCAAATATGTATTAAATGTTTGCACAGTTTTTAAATTAAAGATCTGAAAAAGATTCACCTTCTTAAAGTAAAAATTCAGTTTTATTTATATATTATTAGAAACGTTACACAAAGAGGCTGAGTCTTTCACAAACGCCTTGAACCTCTTGTATCTTTGGAATGTAAATTGCTCTGGCTTCATGCTGTTAGGGACTTTGGTAAAGCCAAGCAGAGCACTGCTACTACGAGAAGTACAAACAGCACCAGAAAGCATACAATATCAGTGGTCTTGCAAATATAAAGGCAAGTCAAGTTAGCTAGGCAAGCCAATTTCTTTCTAGGAATACAGTAAAATGAAGAGCAAAAGCATGTCTCTGGATTTGGATTTCCTCCATCACAGTTTTCAGTCCTCTCCACCACACAGGTTCAGCAGTGCCCTCTGGTAATCACCTTTCGTGTCTTGCTGTAAAGCAAAAGATTAAAACAAAAAAAGAAAAAAAAAGGACACAAAACATATACGTTATATTCTAAAACTTGTGAGACAGGCTGCAGCTCACAGTTCGGAGCCCTGTTCTGGGGATAGGGACAGGAGAACAGATATTTCCTACATCAACCTATTGCAGGAAACCTGCACATTCAGTCAAACAGTTTCTTAGAATTGCGCTGGCTGTAGCCTGCAAAGGTAAGAATAGGCTTTTCAAGAGTGCTTAGAAATGATCTACTATTCTCACTGTGGCCTCTAAGAAATCTTCCATGAATTCTAATGGSACAATTAGTCTAAGGCGAAGTACTGTGAAGGTCATACAGTCAATAAAAAAAGAACCCTGAAAACTTACCTGAATGAAATAATAGAGGGATTTTCCATATTTCCTCTTGAATTCACTCTTAATTTTCAGCATGTCGATCTCACAGCGGGAGACCATAATCCTGATCAGAACCTTGTCCCGGGTTCCCTTGCCCTAGCAAGCAGATTCACACATAAACATGCAATAGCTGAGATGCATAAAAAGACTAATGGAAAGAGCAAAATACAGCTCAACTGTCAACTCAGCTGCAGCACTGAAGGGTACAGTGAGCTAAACCTTCTAAGGCCACTGTTGTGACCTAGGAGTCTGAGCACAAACATCTCTCATTATCAGAATTTGATCAACTTCAGGTCACAAATATAGCTACTTAGTCTGTAAAAATAGCAGTCCYGACTCACAATAAAGTCTTGCTGGTACTGCCTAATGACAATCCCCAGATGTTTCTCTTTTAACCCCTTCCTCGAGATGACATGTTGTAGCTGTAAGGTCTGATTGATTCTTCCACAGTTTTCTCCTATCAGCTATTCATCCAACATTCTTCCACAAGCTTTCATTTTTCTTTTCATTTTAAATCTACACTATGTATCTTGTCTTCTGATAACCCTCAACCTTCAGGTAAAACATTACTTAAATATGAGCTATAAACAGTCTTCCTTACCTTCATAGAGTCATACAGCCTGTCTGCAAAATACAGCTGCTTGTTCTGAATGCACTGGACTAAATAGAGAGATACAAACAGTTAAACATCCTGCTAACTCTTAGATTAACAGAACACACAATCCTGGAGTCTTTTTAAAGATACACATATTCAGAATAAGAGTTTGCAGCGAGTTTCTCCATAAGCGAGCACAGAGAAATCATTTTTATCTGATGAATTTGTCACAATTTGTTTTGGGAAGCTTATGAACAACTGCCATTTCCCTCACAGTTAGCGTCTTTTCAGAATGCTAGCACTCCTCCACACACACTAACATCGATTCTTATATCCATGTTTCATATATAAACAACCTTTTTTTTTTTTCTGCAAACATTCATTGTATGCTGACTCCTGAGAAATCTCTCTTCAAGGAGCTGAGCTGAGCTTTCTTTGTTCTCCACTCTCCTGAAACATCTCTCATATCTCCCTCAGTCTGAAACTGATTTTTCTTTTACAGAATTTCCTCTGAAATCAGGAATATCCTAATTATCTTTGTGCCACAGTTACAGTACCATAAATACCTATTTAAGACAATTCAGTGCCGAATCTGCCTTCAGCATCATCCACAACCTGTTTTCCCCTCTCATAGACATTATTCTCTTTCCAGTCTACATCCATATTTAATGCTTGATATACCTAGTGAGAGGTCAAACCTGGTTTTATTTGCTTGTTTTTAATAAAACAAACAGGAATCAAAGATTAAATGTTTGTAACAGGCAAAAGTGGAAGTTACAACAGATAATCATCGTGTACATTTCTTTTGGGAAGTCAGCAATGCAGAAGAAGCTGCAACCTCTCCATGTGATACCCTTTCCCAGCTTTGAAAACTCACCCAGATTCAGGAAGGCATTTTCCAAGTCTCCCTTAACTTCCTTCTTGATGCTCTCCAGCATATCATATGGGCTGTAGTTCTTGTACCTCTCAAACACTATCATGACAAAGAAAAGTGAAAACAAAATCAAAGCAGGAACCAGTAAAAGTGACCACCTTAGCCAAAAATACAGTGCAATGCGGGTGCATGTGAAGAAAAAGTACCTGTCCAAGTCCTTTCAAAAACTTTTATCTTCAGTACAGTCTCAACTTATTAGCTGATAATAAATTTCTGATGCTATGGCCTTCTCTTTTTCTCAAATATCTCAAACACCTGGTAAAATACCATCCTGCCATTAATATTTTTTTGAAACAGGGTTGTCCAAGCTAATGAAATTTAGCTTGAAAATAAAATTCTCCAAAATGGCTTTCCCAGGTACTTCTGGCAGCAGCTTCTCCCGAGCTGCTCTTTGGCAGCTTCAATATCCCATTTAAACACATGACATGCCTGACCTACTCTAGCAGAGATGGAAAAGCTAAAGGAATTCTCAAGGTATCCCGCATTCCAGTTTTCTAGATTGGTAACATTTTCATTCCTAGGGCAGATGAAATACCATTGATTGTTATACCTGTATAGAAAAATGCTATATGCACATTCAAATTATCAGAGGAACACATCCACAGAAAGTAGACCAAAAAAACCCAGCTTGGTTATGAATTAAGATTTCCATGTTTCACACTCACTTTAATCATATCTGAGATTAAATAGATGCCACTTGAGTCTAGTTTTCCTTCTGTAGCTCAAAAAATACAATAGACTGTCACTTGAAGAGTACCTTTTTGGAGGTGGGGAACACTTCTTTCAGTCATAATGTTGATCCATTTTGGCACATCAGTTCCCTTTCTCTTCACACCAGCATCATACAGTTCCTGGTATTAGAAAGATACAAGCAAATCAGCCACTAAGTTCAGTGATACCTAACTCTTAATCTTTTGAAATTACTTGGCTGCTACCACCACTCTTTGTAATGCATCAGTGCTTCCTTTTCTTAAAGCATCTCTTTTTCAATATGCCTATGAAAAATACCAGGGAGCTACTGTGTAAGTGCTAGTGAGTGAGTAGCCCATGAAAATATATAACTGAAGATGTCAAGATTCAAAGYGTCAGATTTCTCAACAGCGTGCGAACATTGCTACACAAAACAATTTGAAATACATATACCTACTTTTACAGAGTGCTCTTGTGCTCTTCACATGCACAGCATTTGTAGTCTAGCTGAATATCCCCCAAAATTCAGTCAGTAAGAACCTTTAATGGTCATTATTAGCACTTACCCTAGCATCTAGGTCAATCAGCTCGTAATCAATCACAGAAGTATCTTCACACCTTTTGCCCTTTAAACAAGGACAGCAATATTTAGAAGAAGTTTAAAAGATTGCAAAGAGTTGGCTATACACGTTGTTTTTCTCTTTGGTTTGTTAATTAGTATTTGTTATACGAGTAATCATTAGAGGACGCTTCATCCTCATGATTTAGCTGCTCTTATGAATGCAGTGTCTCTGACAAGATACTATGCCCTTTAACATTTGATTTTTTTTCCTCAAAACACAGTAAAAGTACAAAGAAACTAGAAGTTGTATCAGAAATCCAATTGTTTTATTAAAAAGTATCAAATACCAAAGCATGGGAACATTAGGAAACATAGAAAAATATGGACAGACATACCTTGGCCAAGGCAACCATTAGCTTGCGGAAGTCGCCAGATGTGTCTGATATAATGTCCTTTTCCAGTTCTGTCTTATACACTAGAAAAGAGACATTTTTTTCTATTTAATAATGTTTGACAAGTTAGCATTTACCAGGCATTTACAAGGCCAAGCATTATCAGTTACTCTTGCACTATGCACAGAATACATGTAACATAGGGGAAAAAAAAGCTACTCAGATACCAAGCTACTTGGATGACTAGCTAATGCTCTCCAATTTGTTTATTGTCAAGGAACAGATGAAACTCTATAAATCCACCCTAATATCCAGTATGCCAATACAAATTTCTTCTGCTTGACTAGTAGAGAAGCAAAGCAGATGTGATGCAMGTGACTCTACCAACCAAACTGACCTTGGGAGCACCTATCCAAGTAAGGCTGTGAGCAAGTACAATACAACTTTCAATGTAAACTTACTTTCCCTGTAGACTCTGTTGATTTCATAAAGCTCCTGATTTGTCCGTGAGCAGATGATTTCAATGAGTGTGTCTTCATCAGTTCCCAGACCCTGCAGCACACAAAACACAGTTAAGTGTCAGAAACCAGCAGACTAGCTTGAAGGGTTTCAAAATATTTTACTGACATTTTATTACCCTTTTTCGTTTCTCCCAGTCTAACAGTTCCACAACTGTTCAGGATATTTTTGCCAACTGTATGCATGTTTCTAACATGGCTGAGAAAACCCAGATGGAACATTTTTAGTTGCCAAATATTATTCTATTAGCTTTGAGATACGGGAGATAGTATCTGTGGGAAATATTTGAGGTGTTTGTAACACTTACCTGATCTCCCCTACCTGATTGCATAATGGCAATGAGGTTAACATATCACTGCCAACACGTGATTCTGTTCTATCTTTCCATTGAGAACACAGGAAAATAAAATCTCGTTTTCATCATGCAAATGTGCAGAGACCCTGTTCTTCCCAGCTTTTTCTCCTCACCTCTCTTCCTACATCTCCCTACTATGAATAGATGCTGAAGATGACACAGCCTTAACCAAAGCCTCATCTCCAGACTAGCAAATATTCACCCTTATTTCAAGTTTCTGGCTCATAAATATCATCCCACAGAACACATAAATAGCATTCCATATTTTATATGTGGAATATGTATGTAGTTATGTGAAAAACTACTGTCATAGAAAAAGCATCCTTACCAATTGAAAAAATGAGAGGACTAAAGCAATGTCTAACAGCTAAGAGAACTGGGACAGCTCTCCACAGAATAATTCTAATGGATATCTGGGGAAGAAATAATGGGTAACAATTTAATAATCTCTAAATATCATTTTGAAATATTTTGTGGGAATATATACCAGAAAAAAAACCCAAAACAAAACAAAACAACCTAAGCACAAGCAAGACAAACAATATTTTGCTAGCAAACTCAGAATGTTAGAATGAATGCTTGGGAGATGGAAACATCCGACCTGTAAGGAAAATATGCTGCCATGGCTTGAGACTAAGACGTGATCGCCTGGTTGCGAGTACAGCACAAATGCTAGATAAGTATATGGTCATTCTAACTTGGCATACCACACACAAAATGTTCAGAAATTTTGAATTATTATCTCGTTCTCAATAAATGATGGATAGCCTATGGATAAACCAGAAGAGGGCAGCATCTGACTGCTCCAAGAGTGGATTTGGCCCACAATTAAAAGAGCAATTATGACTCCTTATTTGTTATTGATGCACTGATTTCTGTACATCTGTTTCATTTTCTGGAGATTGTAATTAATCATCTCTTTGTCTTGTTCAGAGTTTTAGTACACATATTTTAACACTTTTTTTTTTAATAATTAGTTAAAAAAATAAGAACATTAGAGATATAAGAGCTGCTTATGAATACAAGCTCCCAAACCTTAGTTTGTCTAAAAAAGTAAAAACACTGGCATGAGCACTTGTCAAAACCTGTCTTCGTGGCTGGGGGGCAGATTTTTCCTAACTAGCGACCCATTCCATGCTTGCCTGTGATTGCAGGGGACTGAACTCTGTCACCCACTGCTGTGCTCTTCTCCAAGCCTCCTTTGAACACCTCCTCCTCCTCCTCGTGTTCCACAGAGAGAAAGGCCTGGGTACAGGATGTTCTTTCAACATCAGTGATATGACCCAGTAACGGGAAACCACTTTTTATTAAGCCTATAAATACTAGCAGAGGATTTAATGGCTCCAGCTGCTTTCTTATGCCTTTTTTATAAAGAACCTGTTCATTGTTTTTCAAGGCAGTCAGAAGAACAGCTATCAGCCAACACTGCCTATTAGTCACTCCTCATCTGCCTCACATTACTTTTTGCTCAAGAGAGGATTTTGCTAATACTTGAAGGTGGATACTTAAACCGTAGTACYAAAAAGTCAGTGGCGAAATGTGAAAAATGTATATGAATAACAAGTCCATACTTATTCTTGAGATAGTGTCATCAGACTTCAATATATTTAAATTTCAGAATTCATTTACCTTCATGGCAGCTTTCAATTCAGAGGCATCATACTGCGCTGGTGTCTTCAGCAGGCCCAAGATCACTGCCTCCAAATGACCTGACAGAGCAGATTTGAGTGCTGCTGAAAGTTCCTGTAAAATAGAAGGGAGAATGGAAGAAGTAATTAAAGCTCACTTCTGATCTCCAGAGAATTCAGCTTGTAGTGCTTTAAATCTCCAAGGCAGCAACAGTCTTTTCTGCACAACTGACATAGAAACAGAACATAAAGAGCTTTCTTTTGTGGAAATCTAAGAAATAAATTAGGGCAAAGACATTTTTTCTCGTCCTTTGAAAATAAGAAAAATCCACTGGTGGCTGACAAAGTGCTGGGAAGCATGGTGCAAAGACATCCAAGTGGCTCTGTACAACCCAGCTTTGGTCTTGAAGCACTGACACTGTGCTGGAGCTAATAAGCGCTGATGGATCTGAGTTTGACTCCCTGTGGTCAGTGCCTCTGCACCACACTTCACAGTGTTCCCAGTAGCACTATATTATTTGGGTTTTTCCTATTTATCTCAGCCCTAAATTAGCTTAAGACACTGAAAAATTGACTGCATAGTTATTCCATTGTACTAGCCCAGGTCCCAAACAGCTCCTGAGTGYAGGAAACTCAGCCCTATCTTCAGGAAATCATCAGAACTCAGTAGCCAAAACCTCTATTGTTAATTGTCTGTCAAAGCTGGAGGAAAAAGAACCCAGATATTTTCACTTCATGGGATGTATATGGATCTATAGAAAATAAAGTCTGGCATTTCCTTCTTTATGGGTTTCACATATAACTTGAATAATGCTAGTATCAGCTTCAATGCAGTGTAGTTACAAATTTCAAAAGCCTAGATCCAGGTCCGGGATCTACACTGATCAGTGTTTCCTATAGCTGGAATTAAAACCAGAGCATTCAGAAGAGACTTCCTGCATTTAAATTAAAGGGTTCTATACAAATAAGTTTAGGGCGGGCGTGGACGAGAAGAGATGGAAAATCAAGTGATCTGAACAAAATTTCAGAGAAGTTTATGTTGGACAGATAAAGAGCCAAGGCACTTGGCACTTTCTAGCATTATCAGTTAAATCAATGCACTTCTAAACCCCTAGTAGCATCATTAATGCCAGTGAAGGGAAAATATTGCACAGATCTTCCTGGTAGAAATACTGCTCCTCAGAATTATTATTGGTTCCTACTGGAGCTAAACTCACAGGAACAAAAATGGAGGTAGGTTTGAGATCTTTTTTTCCATATAATGACCTGTTGAAAAATCCTGCAACAGGACACGTGAGCAATAAATCACAGCCACCTCAGGTAGGGTTTGCAACTTCACAGCATATTACCAAAGAAATTCATGAAATATTTTCTCAAGAGGATATATCCCTGCTCCAAACATGTCTTTTCACATTCCATCTTTTTCCTCTCCTATTATTCACCTGAGTGGTTTACATTGGTTTTACTTTTAACTTTAGCACTTATCATATTTGATAAATTCAGTTGGTTCCTGGGTCACAGTAAGGAAAGAAGAAAAGTGGAGAGAGAAACATTTAAAGGAAAGAAGCTGTRGACTCTCTCAACTGTACAATTTTTGTGCTCATGCAAAACATTTAACAGAGCTTCAAGTGACATATGTTATTATTCGGGTCCAAAGCTCTCATGGTGCCCACAGAGAGTGACTGCTGGGACGCAGGCCTGTGCGCACACACGCATGCATCCAACTTGCATATGTTTCTGCGTGTGCATCAGCCATGCATAAAAGTTTGTGAATTTCCAAAATTTTACTCTAGTTTTACATTTGGTAGCAGATGAGCACTCTGGGCTGCTACTGGAGAATTACCATTTGGGGTCTGGCAAACCTGAAAGAGAGACATTTGTGATAATCTTAAACCGATCTTTAGGCCAATTTCTTTTCTTCTGCATGGGCATAGAACTTCAATTACTGTAAGATTCTCAAAAGACAAGAAAACATCAAGAAAACTTCCAGTTAGCAAGACTCATTATACAGGCTGCTGTAACCTGTCCTATAGATTTGTTTTCCTCTGTAGATCACTACATGGGATACTTCCGTCAGGAAAATAYCTAGTGAAAGTTCAGTTAATTTCACTTTGCACAGAAATGAAGTACTTTCTTTAGGCCAAGTTATCTTTAAATAAATAAACAAACAACACCCAAACCTCTTTTGCCTTTTCTTTCAAATTGAGGCATTTCCTGGCAAAGGTTTTTCCATAGGTTTAAGTAGCAATTTTACTACACATCAGAAAACACACAACTGCTAATATTGAGCACATTTCAGCATGTAACGATCTGCTATTCATCCTGATTTCTGGAGATACTGGAAAACCCATGTCTTCAACAGATTTCACTTCCMATTGCGCATACTGAATACTTCTGGAAATCCTACCTGTCCTAAACTCTGACAWCAAATACAAAGTAAAGGAATCTTTACTATCAGCAAAAAGACAAATTAAGGAATGTTTATTTCCACGTTATGCCTAAATATCTGTGAAATATGCGAGCAATAAAAACCTAACTATGCACAGGAAAAATATTCAATATTTCATATTCCTTCATATTTTAGTACCTTTTTGGTTCTTCTCTGGTAGGCAAAAGCAATATCCTGCCTCTGTTCACTGCTGCGATTTGTTAGGATGTTGATGATGGTGACCTCATCCACACCTACAATGACAAAAGACAGAGTCAAAAGAAGCATTTTTACTTGTATTAATATGCTCTCCTCCACCCAGAACACAGCACAGTTGCTCAACAGCTCTCTCTAGTGTAGAATATGTTAAGTCCTGGCCTTGCAGAAACTGTAGCTATTGACATATTTTTGATGCAAGGCACTTCTTGACTTGCACACTCATGTGTTCACCTCGGCTGGAGCCAGTCCCTGGTCAGTTTTGCTCCTTGTGCTCCATTTCACAGGTGCACCAGCCATGCAGGATTCTGCAAAGAAAGCTGTTCAGTTTCAGAACTGACAAACCACAGCTGCCCTGTAATTTCAGTGGAATGATTTAAATGAAGGTTTCCTAAAAAGCAGTTATTTTCTAATTTGCCTCTAAGCACTTAACTAAWACTCCAAACAAAAATGAGAGGAAAAAGACATAGGACTGTTGCTSATCAGCTCAGACACTTAGAAACTAGAAGGTCTTCCCAATATTGGGAGGAATTATGTACATGCTCCCTTCTTTGGAAATGGCCATAGAAGATCCCTGATGAGTTTTAATTAAGCTGCTGAGACAATTTGGATGCTTGAGCTCCCTACCTATCTCTTTTTAATAGTTGAATCCATAAAGGCTTAAGTTTAAGTGAAGAGAATTAGAAGACATCATTTAAAGTAAATTGCTGACAAAATACAAGATCTTTTGGCTTTATCCTAAGTGCCAAGGCACAAATCTCACTGCCCATCCATAGTACCTAATGTATTCTGCAGCCCTAGATCCTACAGGGCCGATATTCCTGCTGCCATGAATTCTGGTCAATACATACAGAAGAAAAGCTTTTAGATTATACAGGAAATTTCTTAGATATCAGCTACTTGCAACTCAAGATTCTTTACAGTGCAGGAGGCATCCTGGCACTCTGCCACTGTTCCTGCCTGTTAATGACAATCTGCATTTCAGATTCACTCTTYTTTCTCTTCCCATTTGCTGCTTTCACTGGATTCTCCCAAACTCAGCCTAGCATGCAAATAAAATAGYTATCCTTTGATAATTCAACAGCCACAGAAGAAAAAGCTGTATTTATACTCCCTTAACTAATTTCTAAAAATATCTCAATTACTCTCTTACTATGAGAGGTTGTAAAACCTGCCCTTGCAATAAGCCAGTCTCTGCAAGTCAGAAGAAAATTCCTGGAGATGTAAGTCTCTGCCACAAGCCAAATCAAAGGAACTGTTAGAAAGCAGGATACAGAGCAGCCAGGTAACAAAGACTCCAAGGGAAAAATAGGAACAACATTGCAGACACATATTTTTATGTTGTACCGATGAGGGCCATCCAGAGGTTCTTAAGCAGAATAGCAATTGCTTGATTGCACCAGGCATGGTTGAGGACTCACAGCTGGCTCAACTAAAGTCTTATTTTGAATTTATTATTCTACACCTCCCATTTAATCTTCCTACTTCATCTAATACAGCAGACAAGGACACACTGTAAAACAACACAACACAAAGTATGTCCATTCCCTTCCTCAACTCTCCAGTGCCGCTTTATGCTATGCCACCGATTTCTGCCTCTAGGCAAAATGCTCCTTRGCATCCCCTGTATTTTATCAGTTAACCAGAACCCTCTGATCTGCTATTCAACACTGCAGCTGGAAGTAACTTTCAGCTAATAAATTCTGCCAAACAGAAGAATCAGCAGAGTGTGTAAATGGATAGAGAGAGGAGACAGACTGAACAGCTCTCAAACTGTTAGGCTCCAGTATCAAGCTAGACTATAGCTGTGCTGTGCAAGTGCTTGCTTGGGACTATTTGTTGTCTGACTTCCTTTCACATCTGTACTGTAATAAAAGTATGAAATGTGACTGATGTAATTAGCCTGTTAATGCTGATTTTGCAATAGGAAAAGGAGTGGAGCAGCTACTACAAGAATTCAAGTCCCTCACAGAATCTTTTTCTACTTCGTCTTATTAACCAGAAGTGACCTCACTGCAGCTCAACCACAAAGGAATTGACTCAGATATTACAATACAAATCAGACCAGTGTGAGTGCTGCAAAAGACCTCACAGCCCTTAGCTACAAATTCTAAAACAGTAAGTCAAATCCAAATATTCATATTCATCTCTCTCTCGGCTTCATTTTTCCTAAGGAGCAAGAACAAAAATGCGACTCTGATTTGAAGAGATGAAACACTGGACCTGATAGCCTCAWGTTTTTAGCTCATATTGAGGCAGACCTACATCAGCGCTTGGCCTACAAAAGTCTTGAGGCCCTGGAAAGTATCCTGTGTTTTAAGCTACAAAGTTTGTTTGGAACCAGGCTGCTGACAAAATCTACTGATAGCATATTTTGAAATATTCCCATAAAAAGAAACAGTCCAGAAACGATCAAATGGCCATGCGCAGATGAATAGATGAATAGGTACACCAGGCCTTTGTAGAGCCACAGTATAAATCAGTCTTTATTTTTTTTTTTTTTTTAGTAAATTCTCAATTCAAAACATTCTTGGCATTCAAAACTAGCAAATGACATTTTCAAGTTTTAAAACAATTGTGAGAGATTAGAAGCCCACAAGCAACTGTGTCCAAGTTATTCATATGTTTTGTGGATGGAAATATGAGTTAACTCATTGCTCTGGCATTTTGTGGAAAATGAGTGCTTGTATTTCACACTTGGGAATCCTGCTGCCCTGAACAGGATGCTGACTCACATTTGCTGAGGTGGGGTGGACCAAAGAGCTGCTCTCTCTCTCTCTCTCTTTTTTTTTTTTTTTNGCTGCTCTCACTTTTTTTTTTTTTTTTTTTTTTTTTTTAAATACTGTTCACTCAAAAGCCTAAAAATTTCAGGGTAATTGAATGAAAGTTTATTCTAGCTGGGCAGGTTTGAGCAGCACCCTTTTATCAATGAGTGTCAGAAACTGACTTCATTACTCAGATTTTTTTGTTTGTTTTCAAGCAAGAAAATTTCTTCCAGACAGAAATGTACTTGGGGAAGCAGAGAAAATAGAGAGAACTCCTTTTGAATAATGATGAATAATGTCAATTTTTTCGTTTTTAAAGAGCTCAAACTATGAAGTTCATGCTAGTATATTCAATCAGCAAGATAAGAGGAAGTGAACACAGTAAAATATTAGAGCTGTATGTGATTTTTTTTTTTTTTTTTTGAGTTAAAAAGGGACTGGATTTGAATTTCCATGGGCCTAAGCAACACCACTAAACATGGTGCTGAACAAGACAGATGACAAGGACAACTTCTCAGCTTCCTGGGAGGAGGTAACAGAGCTAACATACCTTGATTCTGCAAGGAGTGGTGAATCTGTTCAGCTTGTTTACCAGAAATCTGTTGTCTYCATTTTTATTTTCAAAGTCAGTGTGGATGGAATATGAGAATCTAAATCTGCCCTACCAGCATTTAGATACCACAGAGATTATCACCCTACATGAACAAATGAGAAGATAGCAGTTGGCCTCCAATTATTAGCAGGAAATTATAATATAAGTGTAGGTGTCCAGCCCTTGAGAGTCCTTGGTACGTTTGTATGTCTGGCACAAACACAGTCCTAGGACTGTTTGAATGGATTTCTGATCTGCTTATCTTTGGATAAAAGCTGAATCTCACTGGAATTAAAGGGAAAAATACTGAGATAAAATATAACCAAAACTTCAGTTCTGGAATTCTTCTTAGAACAATTTTGCCAGTTAGTGTTGCAATTATAATATTGCTTCTAATATAAGCAACGCACTGGATTTCAGACACTACCCCTTCCCACCAAACAAGCTCAATGAAATTTTTAATGCTTGAAAATAAAAGAGAAGAGGAAGTCATTAAAAGCTATGGCATGTTGAATACACCACCTAAAAAAATCAATTTTTCTATATGGGTCCTTCTATATGCTATGGATCACACCTCATTGTTGATTTACTGATTTCTGACTATAATGATTTTATGATAAATGTATGTAAGCACTGTCCTAAAAGACCATGCATTTGATGCATTTGAACTCTGCTGGTCATGGGACAGAAAAGCATATCATAAGGCCTCAATAAAGGGTTGCACAATTTGAGCTGCAAGTATACAACTATTCATAAACTAGTCAATCAAATTATTAAAACTATGAGRCACACACAAAATCACACTGCTAGGCAGTAACTCTCAAAACGAAGGCAGGCACTTCAGCAGTCTTCCTTCCTATAAAGTAACAAAGGAAACCTAGTGAATGCTGGACTAATTTGATTTTTTTTTCATTTAGGCTCATGTACTTGAGCTAATCCATATAACAGAGCATAACTGAACACTATACAAGTATTCAATGCCCTCTTGTTCCGGAGAGCAAAAAGCTAACATGTACCAAGATGATGCTAAGACACCAAATGGATTCACGACAGTAAAACTGAATAGCATACAAACAAATCTGGCTTAGCAATGGCATATTCATTACACATAAACAAGCTGGAACTGTAACAGTTCACTGGCACTGCAAAAACTCTGGGTTGAACTGCAAAATGTTTTGCAGGGTAATAACWTAGAGCCATTCTTGCATGACTCCTTTCCAGCTCTTAGATGTATGTAAAAACCGCATTTAACTCAACCACAGTTCAAACCCAGCAAAGCCTTACCTGTGCAGTATAGATTTTGCAGATTGCATTAAAGTTGCATTAAATGCATCACAGTATTTCTCTGAGACCCCATATTTGATAGAGAGATGACTAAATATTCAGCAATTAATCTAAAAAGCATCAATAGATTTGGAATACATGGACATTACAGGCAGCAGCAGTCAGACACTCTACTGGCTAAGCAAGAGTTGCATTGTAATTACCTGTTAACTTTCTAAAACTAGCTTACTCTGGCCACCAGTTCTGTACTTGCATATTGCTTATATAACATTGAAGCAGGAATACCCAAATGATAAAGTGAGCAAGTCATATCATTCGTTACAATACTATAATCATCTATGCTGCATACTTCTGCTTTCAACATGCAATGCAAACTAGCTGCTGAAGAATCACTGATACTTCRTGTAAGGTAGTGCTCGTGAGTATGTACCATTTGTTCACTATGTGTGCCATTTTTATTTATAAATGTGTGTGTGAAGGCCCTAACTAGAAAAATTTTCAAATACTTTCCTGAAGACAGTTTCCCTTGTACAGCTGTTCATATTTGGTAGAAAAAAAAAACTCTGTTCTGAATGATTCTCAGTTTTCATTTGGGAAACAGAACATATCTGAGTTCACATTCTAGTATAWTTTCTTCAATTAGTCAATGAAAATATCCTGTAACCAAGTATTTAAAACACAAGGAAATAGTATGTAGAAGGGGTCTGATACTTTTTTGGCTTTCTTCCCACACGAAAACTTTCTTGAGACATGAATCTCTTCATGGTTTTAATACAGACTCTTTCACCATAAAGACTTTCAGTCAAAAGTCACCTTTCAGAAAAGCTCCTGAATAACAAGCTGAGACAAGCTCAATCCTACAAATGTGCAAGTTCATGAATAAGTTCTGCTATTATTTGTTCAAAGGATCAGCCACTACCTCACTTAAAATGTTTCMATATATGTTAAATATTAAACTCAGCAAATTGCTCATTTGTGTTGGAAGAAAATGAAAAAATTACATTAGTCTGACTTTCCTGACAGGAAAAGCTTTTGTATTGCCTGGGATACTGCAATTTCCATTTGCGCTAATTAACAGTCAGAATGTTAAAATGTGCAAGCTGGTCCCTACCCTGAAAACCCGATGGTATATTTGACATGTTTAGATTGCCCTACAATCAGTGCTGTAAAATATAATTAAATCTAGACAAAACTCTATGTGTACACAAAGCACTTCCTGCCAAGCGCAATGACACTCCTCTCTTTTAAGAAGATTATCTAAAAATAAAGCAATAAACCTTAAAATTTGAATAGAACCTACTTCAGTGAGCCGGCGGGGGATTTCTCCAGCTAAATTAGGAAGCCTCATGAAAGCAAGCCTCACATTTCTAAAGGAAGAGCAACATTTTATAGCCAACATCTTACATGTTACATTTTTAAGTCATTTTTTGCTTTGTTGGCACAGACAGAATGCACTGTTGGAATTTCTTTCAGATGAGAAATTGTTTCTTTTTAAATTTCTCTCTCTCTCCTGACATGTAGGCAAAAGCCTGGGCAGTTCCAGCTACGCCCAGCTGTTGCTTCTGGGGCCTGCAAGAAGAGCCAAAGCCGGAACACCCTTTTCCTGGTTCCAGAGCGGGATGAAGATCGCTACCCCAGAACCATAGTGATTGCTTTCTATGATTATCTGYTCTGAGACGGTTCAATAAATGAAGCCAAGTGGTGTTAATGTGCTCATTMTTTTTCCCTCCTCAAGAAAATAAATGCTATTTAAACTTTGGTTAAGTGAAATGGAAAGCAGTTATCCCAATGCAACCTCACAGGACATAGGAGTGTGTTTCAAAATCCATGAAAGAGACAGAAACAGAGTACAATGTTTGGAAGAGTTCATTCCTCATCTATTTCCCCAAAGACAAATGCTATTAAGTCGTGTAAAAAAAAAAAAAAAAAAAACTTGAAAGTAGTACTTTGTGTATAGTTTCATACTGAAATACTATCAGTAAAACATACTGTTTCTAGGATCTTCTCTGACTCAAAATAATCCAAGACACATGTGCATTTGGTTCAAAATCTCAGCAAAAAAAGTGGACATTTTACTCCTGCCAGCATTCTCGCTTACAAGCGGAATCAAAGGCACAGCCTGTGCTCCCCACCTTTGGTCTTGATGGCCGTTTCCAAGGCCGCAGCATCCCGGTCAGCATCGAAGTTTGAATAGGCCTTAACTGTGGCATATGCACTTGGAGGGAGAGAATGCTGGAAAACAGAGAAGGATAAAAAGGCAAAATTAAATCCTGCACCTTGCTGGAGTTTTTACAACATGTGTCCCCTTCAGGGACTGACATTTTGCCTTATTTTTCTAAAAACAAGAATTACCAACAGGTGTTTGTGAAGCCAAAATTCTGCTAAGAACTACCAAGCTTTGTTGTCCAAATGTGTATGTTCCATAGGTTCACTCACAGCCATGTTCATTTTGAGAAATAAGTACAAATATTACATATTATTGTAGCAAATGCCTGACACATTCCAAATTTACTCACTAAGCCTGAATTTGCTAATGTATGAAATTTCCTACGGAGATCTTAAGAAAATTGACTATAGAAAGCTAATCCAAGCTTTCACATAAAAAGCTCTGTGTGTGTGTGTATACACATACACATGTCTATTGTGAAAAAAGTCAAAWAATATTTTAAATTTAAAAGTTATACTTCGAATTATCAGTTACAATCAAAAAAAAAGTAGAGGAACGTGGGAGATGAACAATAAGTAAATTACAATGGAACAATTGTAATCTCATGCTGTATCTCATGGCCTCTAGAGATAACAATAAAAATATCTTTTTGAGCCCACAGTTCTTGAAAATAAGAGAAGTTTCCTTGAAGGAAGTAACCTTCTCCTTTTGAAACTCTGTGCCTACAGGTTTAAGCAGGGAAACCAGTAAAACGACTATTCAAATCAACTCTATTAAAGACACAGAGGAGTTGAATATGCAGTCATTTAGTAAGTAGTCATAATATTTTACCAGTTAACTGATCTTATCATCCATTTAATATTGTCCTGAACTGAGGATTATAACCTCAAACAGGAGGTCAACACAAGAGATGCGAAACTCATCAACTGCTTCAATGCAAGCTAACAGTTTAGCTCGTGCCACCTCCCACAGGCAGGTTAAACTAAACCACAAATTTCCATAGCAATAGCTGAGAAACATTCACATATTCCATTCTCCAGTTCAGAGACGTAAACCGCTGGCAGAGGCGCACGGACGGTCACCCGAAGCCGCCCCAGCTGCTTGCTGAGCAAGTGCCTGACTAAGCTTTTTTGGTTGAGCAGCCCCAGGACCTTCCAGCCCCTAACTCCACCAGAAACCAGGCTTCCTAAGCAGGACGAAGGTCCCCTAATACCTCAAGGGCCCTTTAGCAAATAAGTTGGTTAAAGGAGGACAAATTTTAACTGCAAATTCCCACTTTTTCTTTTTTATTACGTCTGCCTCTTCTGGCAGAGGTCACAGTGCCCTGACAGATGCTCTGTGCCMCCTCATGAACATCTGGGTTACACAGCAGAGATGGGTAGTTAAAACACTGATAAACCAACCTCCCCTTTTTTTTTTTTTCCTCTCTCAATTTAGCTAAGTGACTGCAGTCACACCACAAGACACAACCTTTTATGTTAGCAAATTGAAGTGTTATCAAAAAAAATAAAAAAATCCAACAGTAAATGGAGGTGAGCCATAAACTTTCAGAGACATCAGCATGCCTGCAAGGCCCCCACAGCAAAGCTGGGCACCTGCACTGTTGCATGGCTGTCCTGCTCGCCCAGCACTGAAGGATAATGCGATACAAACCTACCAGCGAGCTCAGCAGAGTCTGGCATCTCCCTTCTTCCACCTCACTCTATACAACACTTTCCATAAGCCATCGGGACAAGAAAAGTCTAATGCAAGACCATATAAGATACCGAGAAAACACACAGCAGATTTGCAATTTGGGAACCAACTTTTCCTCCATTCTCCCACCTCATGCATATAACAAATTGGATTCAGGTCACTTCACACTGGTCAGAAGACCCAGCAAGTGCCACCAAGTCCCATATGCAGGGAAGACAGAGGCCTTCAACTGGCTACTCTGCCAGTAAATGGAGCATATCCAAATCTAGCAYCTGCACAGACGAAGTTTTACTCTTAGGAGAGCTAATGAACACCCTCTGCAAGTACTTTGGAGGAATGGACACTGTTTTTTAATCAGGCTGTTCATTTTGCCTATGAAAACCAGCCATTTAAATTCCAGACAATAGGAATCTGTCCTAAATTACTGTGGTACACCAAAGAGTATTGGACATTTTCAGACTTTTTTTTTTYCCTCCAAGGAACTTTCCATTTGTTTCTGTACAAAGTCTTCCAGGATGTGGCTGTAAAAGCCCTGCCTAATGTGTAAATGCACAAGTAGTCTGGGCAAAACTCATCAGAGAAAGATTTTTTTTTTCTCTCTCCACACAGAGGATATGCAAAACATGTAACTGCTTTACTTCCTCTGAGCTTGAGGAACCAAATCCCATTTAGAGGAATTCAACACCGCAGAGGGGCATACTTCACTAACAGGAATGCTAACAAGGCTTCACTTCTAAAACCAGAGTCCTTTCAAGAGATCTAGGGTTTGGGTATTCCTCATCCTGACAAAAAAATCACAAGAACAACAACAAAATCCCCCAASAGCTTCCTGATGTCATCCTACAAGTAATCCATACTGCCTAGACTATATTTCAGATTTCCAAATGCCCGTGCAAAGATCAAGGACATGATCAAGCACACCTAAAAGATGTGCCTAAGAATCTTTCCATTCTCTCGTAGAAGGCTGCAGAAATTGCAAATCCAGAGTTAACTTCAGCTCAACCCTCTCCTCTCCTTAAAAGACAGAGGAGATGGTCCCAGCTGAAGCAACTCAGCTTATCGGGCAGCTTCTTGGTYTTGGGGGAAGTCACTTGCTACACTGCTGAGGCGGAATGCACAAATGCCCTATTGCACAAGACAGGGTTTCTGCCCAGCTTTCGCCATTCTAGACCCTCAGTTAGAAACACTGTTTAAAAATAAAAAAGTATCTGAAATACTGCTCTTAACATCAGTTAACTCRCTGAATCACTCCTCAGGGGAGCTGGACAAGTCATTTCAAGTCATTTATATGAACTATCCACACAACAATTCTGGCTTCCAGATTAAAATCTGTAGACTATCAAYGTGAACATGACTTCAGCTGCACTTAGGTTTGAAACTGTTTTGCCTGCACTGTTGTTTACATTGAGCAACATGATCCCTGTTCACTCAAGATCCAAACCWTGAAATTCTGATATCTGTAGAACAGAAATTAATTGCCAATTACTTTTTTTGCAGTTTACTACAGAATTTTTGTTGAAAATGCTGCTATGCAATGTTATTCAAGTTTGACTTTTGCAACTACTCACATTTATCATGGAAAAAATATTCATACCCATGAGGCTAAGCTTCTCAAATGTTAGTCCAAAAAGAGATTTCCATCAAAAATAACATGGCTAAATATTTTAAAGACTTGGTCACTTCTACAGCACAAAATCAGCCTTGCCACTTACCTGCAGTGCTCTAATGGTAACAAAAATAAACAAAAYATTTGCTTTTACCAAGCTCATCTCTGCAGTTATCAGTTATGAAATTTGAAAGTATTAGCAATACAATGGGACGACACCCCAGATTCACTTCTTCTTTAGTGACAAATCACAGAGCCACAAAATCACACCACAATATTCTGAGATTACGGTGGTAACTCTACCAAGTCATGTCGCAACATCAAAAATCAAACAAAGAGAGTGTGGCTTTCCGGTATTTCAGTAGGATGCGCAGAGAAGCATAAAGCTGGGGTAAAGTACCCAATAAAAAGGAGACTCTGGAGGCTTTTCAAAATAAAAAAAAGAGAAAATATTTTTTAAGCGCTAGTTTTTGTTGAAACTATTTGGCTTCTGGTGAAAAATGTTACATGAATAAGATTCCCRTTAGTTAATGTTTTCAAAGTTTTAATACAGAAAAAAGTGAAACTGGGGTGTCAGTAAAAACAATCACATTTCCCTTTCCCCATCAGTAAAAACGATCACAATCTCCCCTTGCCATCCTCTTAATTTGTTTATGTTTTCACAAAAAAGGTGGATCACAGATCTGAACTTCCCATTCGGTTTGCCCTCTGACTTGTTTATAGGGCCCAGCATGCAAATCCTGCTCATGCTGCTGCCCAGTTAGAAGAATTTACATTAAATGTAGCCATCTCATAACTGTCTGCTTTGTGTCTTCAGATTTATGGCTGAAGACTGACCACAACAGACTAAGATAACTTTACATAGAAGAGACGTGTTAAACTCTATAGCTTAGTAGAARTGCTAGCAGAGTTGTGTAAAGGAAACAAGACATAGCATGTAAGAGAAACAAGCAAATACTCTGGTTTGAATAATAATACTTACATCTCCTTCAAGGCTGAGCTTGCTTAGAATTTCATGGACTGTAGACATCTTGAAAGAAAGCTGGAGGGGATGTAAGGAACAAGTAGGCTTAAATTCACAGGTAAAACATCATGGTAGACAGTCCCGAATCCCTGTACTACAGAAGCTSAGAAAACTCAGTAAGATTTATAATCCCATGAAACAAGACTGATTCAAGAGTGTCCAACACTGATAACATACTGATAACACACAAGCGAGAGGTCTCCTTTCTACTGTAAAATAAAAATGTAACTTCAGTTCTAAAGAAACTATTTCTACCGCATTTTATGCTTATGAATTGCTGTTCAATCTTTGACCCTGGACACAAGCCACAAGTGCCTCTAAAATCATACTGTGCTGGGTACTGGTTTCCCAGTACTCAGCAAAACAAAACACAGGACACACTACAGATAGTGGTGAGAGGTAACAAGGTGACAGTTCCAAAAGGAACAGCCAATGAGACAAGATAACTGCTCCATTGTGACTAAGTTTGGGATGTTTCGCTTACACATAATAAGAACAAAACAAATCCTACCGGAGAAATCATGAACAYTGCAAAAATGAACACTGATGTGATGTGCCTATGTTACTACACCCTGCTTTTTTCCAACTCTGGTTTCTGGTCAGGGAAATTTGCCAGAGCTGTAATACTGTTTTACTGAAAGAGTCTTTTAACTAAGAAGGATTTTTTTCCCAAAGGTTATAAACCAGAGGCAATATTTAAGCTGCCTGATGCATTCCTAAAACTTGACTCCCAAATTCCTCTGCTCCTCTCCCTTYTCTTCTCCTCTGAAGGGAGGGATATTGCCACTCATATTACCTTCTAGTTACTCAGCGTGGCAACTGCAGTGAACACTATATTATCTGCTCAGACCAAAGCTTGCTTCTCAGGAACTGCAGGAATAACAGCCATACCTAGAGGGAACAAAGTTGGCTGATTGAGAGGCAGGAGAGAGTGGCCAYGCCTTGAAATCAGTGACACTCATTTAATCCCATATCGGGACCTGGCATGGAGCCTGCAGCACCCACAGGTTCCCGGGGCTCTGTGCACCGCAGTGCGTCACCAGCCCTGCCCGTGTCCTGCCGAGGACGGTTCAAACTCCACGTTATCCCTCTGCAGTTACTCTTCCAATCATATTGGCCTTTCCCAGGCAAGAAGGTCTCACTGCTCAGGCAAGCTTCCCAGATAGAGAAAGCAACTTCTCCCCACCCAGGGGCCAGATCCAAATCCAAGACCTCGCAGGAGAAGGGAAAGCAGCGAGTCAACATATGTTTCTAAATAGTAGAGACTGGGTTAAAGTTCTAAAAGAAATGTTTATTCTTTGTCTTAGCTCCTAGAAACCGTTCTTCTTTTCCCTCTCCACTGAGCCTTTTACAGCAGAGGTACTCAATTTTTTTTTTTTAATTATTATTTTTTTTTTTTAAAGCAGCACACTGTTACTCAGGAGCATCAAGAAGCATTCAGAGAAAATTCAAGTCCTGAGGACTGTATACTAAAGTATACAATCAACTTAAGCAAAAGCTGTAAAATGAAATTAAGATTTAGGAGATACCACTATAGCAATATTTGGCTGAAAAAGCAATTATTGTGCAAGCGCTCAAGAACTGCACTCCCATATGTTTTAAAGACTAAATGAAACATGCTGCTGCTCACACATTCTGAGCATGTTTTAAGTGCTTTTCTATAAATACTCACCCAACTATTAAAGTGCAAAGACTGTTCATTGCTTACAGAGCAAATAAAAGCTATTTGTTCAAGTTTCCTCCTTGTTCTATTTTGATTTATTAAAACATTGCCCAACCTGGTCACAAGTTTTCACCTCTTCCCTTCCCCTCTTAAGTCCGTCAGATTCAAGGGAGAACCAACAAGAACACCTCAGCTTGACTAGATCCAATTTTGAAAATGGAGAATTCTTTTGCTTTCTAGCAACAGAGTCCGAGTTCCAAGGGTATTTTTTGCAAAATAGAAAAATAAATTGGATTGCTATACAAGATGCCTGGTAAAGCAGAGAAATCCTTACTTTTAGAAAACTTAGCAAATATTATATATTACAAAAACACTGCTTTTAGAATGTTTGGAGAGAAGAGCAACAGAAGTAACTCCACTCAAGGAGATGGAAAGAACCAGGAAGGAAAAAAGACACAGAGTAAAAAGCACAGTCAAAGCTCCCCACAACACCCTACTATTTGAGGATATTATATTTTATTATCAAAACCTCGACCTTTTAAAGATAGGTAGCATAAGTCATAAAAGGCTGCTGCCTGCTATTGGCATTATTAACTGAGCTTGTTAAAGGGAGATGATACATGACTTTAGTTACGAGATTCTTAATGTTTACTCTTAATAAAATGAAGTGCCTAACAATGAGACCTTTGTACTCTGAGAGCTTTACAGTCAATATCAGCAACAAGCAGCCAAAGGCTTTTAGGCTTGCTTGTCACAAAGAACTAACACACAGCGGCAAGAGCCGATGCCAAGCAACTGCAGAACAGCCCTTCTTCACAAAGAAATGGCTGAGCAGCTTTTTGGAAGCCTCCCATGKGTAAATGAAACAAACCCCACTGAATCTGGCCTGCTGAAGCGCAYGCTCGCGCGGCATCCAGGAGCAGAGCGTCCCCTCGCGCCGCGCTGGCGCTGCAGGGGCCCCGTGAGCAGCACCGCCTGCGGCCTGGCAGGGGACAAGAGCACCRAAACGGGACTTTTTGCAGGCAACTTTGCAGAGAAGCACCTTCTTAGAGAACAAATGCATCTCTTGTCACGTTCGGCTTTGCAAGGTTCTGMCATTTGTGAACAGAATCTCACTGGTCTTCAGTGGACCCATTTTATCTGACGCATTTCTGACAAGTTCTGGTTGGGTCTGAATAGGTAAACAGAAGATAGATGCACTGACTTGTTCTTGCCAACACAGGACAGGATCAAATTCTGCTTTCATGCTGTAAGCTAATAAATATTTGCAATACCTGAAGGCAAGTTTCAGAAACCAGTTTTTCCTCTTAAGCCCATGCTACACAATTCTGAATCACAACGTTATTCTACTGAAGAGATTAACATCCGATTTGACCCCAGCTCTCCCCTCCCCAGAGCATTAACTGCCTTGCAAGACCTTGTCTGTGTTGGATACTCCGTCCTCATAGCAGTTTAGTGACAAGAGTGTGTTCAAAAGCAGCCCCATGCCATGATGACCAAGTGCTGCTTGGGAATGTTAAGAGCAC